GGCGCCGGTCGCCGGGCGGGGGATGCTTCGTTGGAATGAACCGTGTGACATTTCGGTCTCCCTTGGCTCTCTGCGGGTGTGTGTTATTTTGCAGTCTTAGAGCGGGCCCTTTCTAACCTCGTTTCTCCTAACGAACGTCCAGAGTTGGGGTGGACTTGAGCACTGTCGAGAGTTCTGACAGGCGATGGCTCTGGGCACATCCCGTCTCCCCTGTTTGATCCCTCCGCCCTCCTTCGACAGTCCTCTTCCCCGCGTCCGCCTTTGCCCTTCAAACCCGCACTTCCAGAGCGACCCGAGGGGAAACCGTGAGCGGAAGGGGTTTCTTTTCGAAGGGCGCTCTCCGCGAATTTGGGGTGAGGCACGACGGCCAGCGAGGTCTGGAATTGTCCATTGCCATGGACGGCCGTTTTCAGAGGTCTTCCGCCACTCCGAGGCCATCAGCCCTGTTTCCTGTCACCCTCGCACACCACCCTTCTGCCCTCTCTGAATTGTGGCGCGTAGGGTGGGGAGTGGGCAGAACTGGGCTGACTTTTTTAAGTGTGTGTTGAGGTCCGGGGAAGCGGTCCTTTAGGCAGATTATTAACAATCGAAAAAGAGGTTATTTGTCTTACAAATCAACATAAATGCCCTATTCTTCCCCTCTACCAACTTTTAAAGGCATAAACTCGAGGTTGTTTGGTGGTGGTTTTTAGCCACACGTAAGAACCCTTAACTTTTCAGAGCCTGCCAGAACTTTGAAAGTAGTATTTTATTGGACAGTAAATCGAAAGAGTTATTACATTTCTTTTCACGTTGTTTTCTTCCCCGAGTAGCATAATTCTCAAAATTACTCTCCTCAGTGTAAAATTTAGACCATCCGAGACTCTATATAGTTTTTTTTAGTTAAGGTTTTTTTCATATTACAGTTGATATTGATAGTTGTTGGCTGCACGCTTTTCTGTGGGCCGTGTGTATATATATGTATGTATACTCTTAAGAGAAGAGTTTATGTTGAGTCCAAGTTGGAAAACGAAAGTGTAAAACATTTCAGAGTAGTCCAGGCTCTCAGTTTTTGGCGTTATAAAGTTTTGAAAGTTTTCAGTGTAAAGAATATGATCTAAGAGCCTGTGTGTAGCCAGAGGTTCTTGACAAAACGATATTCCAGTTTGGGTTTATATTTGGTGGCATTAGCTAAAGAGATTTAAAATAAATATGAGAGGTTGGACATCAGTTGCTTGTATAATTCCCAAACTGCTAAACCCAGTATGATTCACTTGGTTGTGGCAAAAACTTACTGCAGACATTTTCACTTTACAGCTAAGAATTTTTTAACTAGAAGCTCACATTACTTTGCTTTTTTTTCTTTTGTTACACTTTGTAAATGTAAAATGAACACTAAAGGTGACTCAGGAAACCCATGACAGCAGTTCTGTAAAGGCATTTGGCATGTTTTAAGACTTAAAGTAAATTTTGATTCCCTTAGGTTGGCCATCTGTGCCCATAAACAGGCATAATGATGGAACTACTTCTACATTATTTGATTTAGATTTTGTCCTTTGACATTTGTGCAAACTTCTCTGTCCTTTCCCCAGACTGATTTACACTCAGTAGTAGACACGGAACAGAATGAAAGTTCTGGCCTTCCTGGATTCGCCTTTAAACATCTGTGAATTTGTGTTGACCTTGAAAGCAGTTATGCCACTATAGGACAGTGTCTCGTAACTGTCTTCAAATACAGAGCTAAGCACCTCATTGCAAGCCGTAGCTTGGAGCATAGAAATAGACGCTATTTAGTAATTACAACTTGTGCGTGTGAATTTGAGTGTCAGCTGAACAATTCAGCAGTCTATTGGCATAAAAATTAGAGACTTGTACCACAACATGTGGAAAGCTCTCACCCTCACTCCTGGAGCCAACTTCGCCGTCCTGCAGGCCCGAGACTGTGCTAGTCAAGGACCCTCACGCTCCCGTGTTCTAAATGATGCATTCCCGGGGCTAACGCCACGGTCACAGCTGCTGTGATTCTTGCCGGCGTGTTAGACTGTTACCTTTCATCAGCAACTAATCAGCTCTGTGATTGCGGGTGATGTTTTAGGTGGGTTAGTATTGTAGGGGTAGCACGATTGACTTTTTATTGCTTTGTTTTGTCCTGGGCAAAAGCTTGAGAATATTTGGCATATACTGGGGATATTAAGTGAGGATAAGTTTTATGACCACTTGGATCAAAGTCCAGAAACAGAAGTTTTACACTCCCATGGAGTTTTCTGTGATAGACTTTCTATGGCACTGCAAAGCTGGGCTGAACTGTTGACGGTCTACATCCTGTGTTGGGATTCTGTCTTATTTTTTTTCCTTTTTCCCCTTCTTTTCTCTCGCCCTCTTTTCTTTCTTTCTTTCATAATTTTTTTTTCCTCACCTCTTAAAGCTATACTTTTATTTGCAAGATATTTATATTAAAACAGATGACGGATAGAAAATCAATATTGCTATCCACTCTTTAAAATTACTGTTTTTGTAATTATATAGGAATATAAACGTCACAATTTTCAGACGCATGATTTGATAAGCATATTTGTTAAGCAGTCACTAGTGTTGAAGATAATAAAACTCTGGGCACTGACTCTGACTTTGGTATCATTTACAGTATTTTTATGATGGTAATTCTGGTGCAGTAACTGCTTTTTTTGCTTGTATTGTTTATAACCAGGGCGCATACAGCCAGCTCTAAGCTGCCTTGTACTGCCATAAGAGTACTCATGTGGAGTGAATGCTTTCCTTCCGGATAAGTCTCTGGAAGACCCTGAAATGACATTTCTCATTGTTCTATCTTGAGATTTCAAGTTCAGATTCATTTAGAGCCTAAAATTATGATAGAGTGAATGCAGTGACAGTTACTCACACGTGGATATCTCCAAATATGTTTTCTCATTGTAACACGAACTTAAATATGCTTGTAGTACAATTCAGTAGCTTCTTTTTTTTCAGTTTGTGATCTGAAGATCTATAGAAATCGTAAATATTTTCACAAGGTCATATCTCCAGCACTCAATTTTTAGCGTTTTGATTATGTTGTGTAACAATTAAAAAAAAAAAAATCCAACTAAATGGGTGATTGGACTCTAGTCTCTGATGTCATTCGAGTTGTGTAGGTAAAGTCTGTAACTTCGCTCTTACCTGATGACAGAATGTCTTACTCTGATGCTCCCCTTCCTCTCGATTTGAAGACACTAACTTAGAGCTTTGGTTGGTCTTGCCAGTGTGTTTTAATAATACTCGGGAAAGATCGCTTTCGTAATTGAAAAGGCTGAACAGAACCGCTTGGTATTTATTAGTTTATCCCTCAAACCTTTTTCAACCCAAAATTTATAAAACCCGTAACTGTTGTGTCGAGTTAGATTTGTTCTTTGTTCTCAGAGCTGATTGTAGGATAAAACCTCTTCCTAGGATAAAAGCCTTCAGTAAGGATTGTGGGACAATTAAATAAATCACTGAGTTGATTGATAGTGGAGGGTTGAAAATGACTAATTTCTGAATTTAGGATACAGACTAGCTACTGACTTTGCAGGACTTCCTATGAAATTAGTTTGGCTGGACAGATGTAGATTCAGTTGACCAGTGTTACAGCTGATTGATGTGGCCTTGGAAATATCTGTCATAGTATCAGTTTCTCAGTAGAAAATGCCTGTGAACTGCAAACCTAGGAATAAAAATTGAAGAAAGTCTTTCCACATGAGTCATTCATTTGATATTTAGCTCTGCAATCTTATTAACTGACTTGGTATTCTCATTTTATTTTGAATTATATGTATATTTTTTATGATGTAAGTGCTTTGTTCATTTTCTCTAAATGCTGGAATTTTTACTTATCTCCAAACAAATGTTTAAAGTAGGTAAAGCAAACAGCGTTAAGTTCGTAAGAATCATTTTGATAAATACTCCAAAAAACCTTGAAAGGTATTTATTTCTCTGGTTTTTAGTTTGTAGTGAACATATTTTTTAAAGTCTTATGTGCCATTGTTGGGCTCTGATTCTTTGAGACTTCCCCCTTGAATCTGAATTGTAAAGTAAGATTAGCTTTCTGCAAATTATTTTTTTCTGAATAATTTTATTACACCTGAACTTGGGAGAGCAAAAACCCCATTTGATATCTTATCCTTAATTTTTTATCATTATTATGAAAG